TAAATTTAGTCTACCAAAGTATAACGACTTCATTGCGGTACATTGCTTGGTACATCAGGAAGACCTATGTGCTAAGTCGTTATCTCTTGCACATGTAATGGATGTTGTTGTTAAATGTGTCAATTTAGTGAGGTCACATGGCCTCAGTCATCGTCAGTTTATAGAATTTCTTGAAAGTATGGAGTGTGATTATGTGGACATACCATATTACACAGAAACACTATGGTTGAGTAGTGGGAAAACACTTCCAAGATTTTACGATCTGAGATTATCAATTTCGAGCTTTCTAGTAATGTATTGTGTACATCGTAAATGGATATAAATAATATAATATTTTGAGTTTATYTTATAGGAATTCAGAAACAAACCATTTAAATATTGCGTGGCCCAAATTGGATAGCGGATATAGCCTTTTTAGCTGAAATTACGGAACWTCTTTATGATTTAAATTTGATACTGTAAGGAAAGCATAATTTAATTTTCGACAAGAGTGACGCAATCAAAAGCTTTAAATATGGTAACTTTGGAAAGAGCAGTTGGCTACAAGCAATTTTTATTTTTTTCCTCGTCTAAGGGTTAAAGAAATATCCTTGTTTGAAACTTTTTGCTCGAAAATTATATCTTTGTTTGGAAGCACGTACACTTGTGATCAATTTTTTTCAATAATGAAATTAAACAAACCGATATCCGATTTAAATTTTGGTACATTAATGCCCGTAGCTACAGCAAATGAGATTAAACCAAACATAGAATTTATTCTATACTAAAATAAAATATTTATTATACTTTTTGCTATTTGTCTTACATTTTATAAATGTATAGTAGTGACAAAAAAACTTAAAATTGTTAGGCATTTTACAGTTATTACCCATAGTGCAACTTCCCATATATGCGCAAGTTAATTTTTATACTTATGAATGGTTAAAAAATATATTTTCTTCTGCAGAATATGATCTTTATTCTAGAAATTCACATACTTAATGAGCATGTTTTCGTATTATGCTATGGGTTATATATTATTGGTTAAGCTGAAAACATGTTCATGTTTTGTGGCTTAGGTCTAAAGTCTAATTTTATTATTTATTATAAACAAGTGCTTATCATGCGACCTATGCATGCCTTGCATTCGGGGTTGGTGTGGTATGGTTTCAAAGTCTTGTGTTTGATACTCTTGTTTATTTGATTAGGCAGAACTGGCTTTATCAGCGTTTGTCATATATTTGTGTATAAGTGTCGTTGATACTGGTATTAACTCTCTTCTCTCTTATAAAAAAAATTCCCTCATTTTTGTACTGTAAAGCTGTGAGTTGTTGAAGTTCATCTMGTTTATTTCTTTCTTGAGGAAATTGTCAATGAAAATCATTCCTCTGCCTATATCTTGCTTCATCTCACGGTTCTTTTTTGAAATACATGGAAATTATTGTTTTATGTACCACTCGCTTAAGTATCCGCACCCGCTTATGTGCCATATTATATTTTTATTTTTAACAAAGCACAAAAATATGTATCTTTGGTTGTGGCACTTAACCGGGATTGACTGTATTTGTCAATGAATGTAAAAACATTTGTACGCTTCTTGCAAAATTCTTCGTCGATATGTATGCAAGCTCATACAAAAATATACATATTTACGCCGGTTTGTTCTTGAAGCTGCTACAGCGGCAAGGGAAGCAGTGGCAATTGGCAATCGTTCGTTTGCGTTTTCGGTACAACTCGGATTTTCTACCAACAACACAATGTTGTGATGCTTTGTTGTCACGTCAGCCCTTCGACACATTGACTCTTTGAAAAAACTTGAGCTCCAGCCATTGGTTGCCCGTGAAACGCAGATTTCGCATGAAGTAATAAGTGTACACATTTTCATACAAAGTTGTGGGTAGACAAATTTACAAACATTATGCGTATGGTTTTTTTTTGTTTACATACACACATAATTACATATATATGTACGTGAATATGTGCGACCGCTTCGTCTTTTAACATGTTATCAAAACTTTTAAAGACCTGTAAATAAGTATGTATGTACATATATTATATATCTTATCAAACCTACATTAATTAAATATTTACATAGGTAATAATGCATGTATGACTTTATTATATATAATATTTCCAAAGATGTTAAGGAATTCATCATGAAATAGTTCAATTTGTACGTACATGCTTGTGTGCTTTGGTATAAAATATATAGAGAATATACATACATATGTATGTATATGTATGTATGTATGTATATAAATATATGCAGTCGTTTGCGCATTGTAAATATATGAATCTGTAAGCATACTTTTCTAAACATTAAAATTAACATATTTTTTCCCATTGGCTCAGTTCTGTTATTGTCGCGCCCCTTATATTAAGTGGTGAAACGCCCTAATAATTTTCTGTGGTGAAACACACTCATCCAAAACAGTAAACATCCAAAAATTGAAATATCCCTAAATTTTTGAYATCGTGAACCTTCTCTATAAATATACGTTCTCTGTATGTACATAAATATGCTCGCATGACATTGGCACACAAATAATGCATACACAATTACATCAGATATGCGTTCATACGTAGATACGTCACCCGCAAAAACTACAAACATTGCTTTACTAAAACAGCAATCTTTTGAAATAGCATCATACCCAGCAAAAATTTCGTGACCGAAACTCCAATACTTTCACATAATTTTTACTTGTCACCAACACTCCCACACAAATCTTTGAAATGAGTAAGAAGTCAATCTCTTGTGTCTTTTGTTTCCTTTATGTTATAAGCTCTTCACTCAACAGATGTTAATCAAAAATAAAACAAAAGAAGACAAACAAATTTTTTAGCTGTCACCGCTTATTGAAAGCGATGAATGTGATAGCGTAAAGCATGATACCGTGAATTTGACGTTTGCTTGTTTGTTGTGACAAATTGAATTCGAAAAAAAAAAATTCGGTTACAAACGCGTCGATAATTAGAACTGTGAAGATTTGTGCTTGTGCATATTTATGCAAAATCATATGAAATAAATATTTAAATATATTTTAATTGTGTTTCTTTAATTTCGTTTTTGTGTCTACAAGTGAAATTTGGAAAAAGGGTGAGTATAGAAAATAACAAATATGAAGAAAAATACATTTAGTGCATATATGAACCGGGACAAAAAGGCTTTTAATCTTAGTGCATCTAAATTTGTGAAAAATATGTAAATTTTGATTGTGATCCTGATGTGGAGGGATGCAGTTCACTAAGCTCCCTTGATTTTTTTTCAAATTGCAGTGATAGCTATGTTAGTGATAGGAATAATAGTGATAGCGAAATTTTAAAAGTGATAGAAAATAATTCATTTAGTTTAGAATTTAAAGCTTGGGCTTTGAAAAATAGGGTGTCCCATAATACAGTAACCAATCTTCTGCAAACGTTGCGAAAAATAGGTTACACAGATTTACCTCTAACGGCTAAAAGTCTCCTATGTACYAGCCGAAAAAAAGTAAATATTCAAACGATTCCAAGTGGATCTTTTTTATATAGAGGAATTCAAAATCATTTTGAGAAAAATTCCTTTCCTCAACTTGAAAATGAAAATAATATTATGCTTGATGTGGGAATAGATGGCCTGAAATTATTCAAGAATTCCAATAAAGTATTGTGACCTGTTCTAGCATCCATTGCTAATTTTCCAAACGAATTGCCATTTACAATTGCGTGCTTTTCTGGAACAGAAAAATCTTGGAGCATTAATGATTTTTAAAAGAATTTTGTGAAGAAGTAAATTATTAAAAAAAAAATACTTATCCTTTAAAGAAGAAATTTGATATTCGTTTGTTTTGCTGCGATGCTCCCGCTCGAGCTTTTGTTACAGTCGCACACTGGAAAAAGTAGTTGTTCTAAATGTGATCAAGTGGGTGACTACAAAGAAAGGAGATTTTGTTTTTCAAAACAAATAAAACATTTAAGAACAGACCAAAAAGTTGCTTCAATTGTTGATTGAAAAAGGCAATATAAACGTAAGCAAAGTTAACGAAAAAATTACATTTCTTTCCAATTTAGTTCCTTCAGAGTTCGGCGCGTATATGTAGAAGTTTAGATAAAATCAGCAATTGGAAAGCGACAGAGTTTAGGCAGTTCTTATTGTATATATGTAGGTATATTTGTCCTAAAGGATTGCATTGGTGATGGCCATTACTACCATTTCCTCTTATTGCACACAGGTATAAGGCTATTATCATGCAAGAAGTCTTATAGCACTTATAGCACTGAAGCCAAATATATACGGTGACCATTTAGTTATTTACAATATACATGGTTTACTCCATTTAACTTACTGTACCAAGCAATATGGACATATACAGACATCTTTTCCGCTTACAAGTTTGAAAATCACGTGCATTATTTAAAACAACTTATAAATAAGCCCAATAAAATCCTGCAGCAATTACATTTAAGGCTAGAAGAAAGAAATATTCCAGATTTTACTTGCAATAAAATATCCAAAATTAATTCGTTTAATATAGATTTTAAAAAAGAAAAAGACTCCTATTGTTTTAGTCAAAAATTAGGCCGCATAAAAGTTACAGGCAGGACGAAGAAATCTGGTACCGCCTCTTTATCGGCACATTATTTCTTGGGTGTTGAAAACTACTTTCAAGAACCATTGGAATCGTGATCTGGTTTAGGTATTTTGTTGGCAGATAAATTGGGCCCACATTTGTTTAAAATAGAAGAAGACGATATAATTTATAAATATTTTTCTATTCCACATGAGAGCAAGTTTGTTCTAATTCGGATCTTACATCATCTATTTCATGAATTTTGAAATTAGTATTATTATTGTATTGTCCCGATGGTATTTTATTATACTATTATGTTAAGTTATTTAAAATGAATTTTGATGCTGCCAATTTTTTATTTCTTAATCAGATGTTTTCACCAGCTCTTTTTGATGACACCTATTTGGAGGAATGCCCAACAACGTCTTCGACTCCCGTAAAAGGTACATGTAAAATTGTCATTTTAGTTTTCAATTTATTTTTACGCATTTGTTATTGTAGAACAATTGACTTTTAAATGGAAGAAATTCAACATTTCTGGTTGCTACAACTCAGAGGAAAGCTTCACAAGGCAACAAGGAAACAATTTGCCTGTGGATGGAAATGGTAATCCAATATATTGTTAAAATGCATTTCTTAAAAATTTTTATTTTATTATGTTTACACCTTTTTCAGATGTTTTTAACATGTTAAAAACTATTTCCTTCCAACGACAAGAGTTGTCTTCCAGAGTTGAAAATATGGAAAGGAAGATGGGCAGCTTTTGAAAGAAAATGTAAGTTTTTGTCCATAAATCTTTTTATTGTGCTATAAGTATTCATTAATACAAAGAAAACGTATTGTTGTTGATTAGGCATTATTAAAGTATTCTCTAACTGCACTTGTTATTTTCAGATAATTCAAAAAAGCGAAGAAGTGGCCCAACAAAAAACCGTCCGCGAATGTAAGGTGCTAATTCGGAAAGTTCACCAATCAGTATCAGAAATGGAAGAAAAACTGAAACGCGAAGAATTCGCTACAGCAACGGTTAGTAATGTATACAATTTCTTCAATAAACAATATTTATTTTGCATAATATTTTCAAATTACAGAAAAAGTTTGTTTTAAGGATGAGAGGTAGTTCCGATAGTATATATGATGTGTTGCGGCATCTGTACACTGACGAATTCCTGAGTTTGTGTAACTGGGACGGTAAGGGAGGCAAGCAACCGCTATAGAAATTTCTGTTGTCCAACATATTATATGGTAAATTTAATACATACATATTTACATAAAAAGATGTATTTTACATTGATTTTTCATTACATTTTTTATAGATTCTCTCATCACCTGTGGATTTACGAATTTCGAGCAACAAATGCGGAAGTCCATCGAAATGAGCCACCATAGACTTACGCAAAAAAAATATAGGAAGCGAAAAGCTGAATGATAAATATAATATTGTAATAATTTTTTTGATATATGTATAAGTATACATTTCTTTTGTGTCTATATAAGAATTTATCGAAATAATATTTATATTAATCAAAAAATGTCAAAAGATAAAGGAAATGAATTTAATGTAAATCTAAATTAATTATTAAAATTAATACTAAAAAAAATATTTTATAAAAAAAAAATCGTTATATTTTTGACTTTCGAACTTTAGATTGCAGGAATGCCAAGCGAGTGGTTTACCCACTAGGCTTTTGTAGAATGCACCGTCACGCTTTCCTGAAAGCAGTTTTGTTGATTTGTCCCAAATTTAATGAAAGTGTGAGAGAGAAGGATATAGTTTTATTCTTCTTTTTGATTGGCGTAGTCACCGCTTACGCGATTCTAGCCGAGTTAACAACCGCGCGTAAGTCGTTTCTTCTCTTCGCTACGTGGCACCAATTAGATATTCCAAGTGAAGCCAGACCCTTCTGCACTTGGTCCTTCCAACGGAGTAGAGGTCTTCCTCTTCCTCTGCTTCCCCCGGCGGGTACTGCGTCGAATACTTTCAGAGCTGGAGTATTTTCGTCCATCCGGACAACATGACCTAGCCAGCGTAGCCGCTGTCTTTTAATTCGCTGCACTATGTCAATCTCGTACAGCTCATCGTTCCATCAAATGCGATATTCGCTGTGTCCAACGCGCAAAGGACCGTAAATCTTTCGCAGAACATTTCTCTCGAAAACTCGCAACGTGGACTCATCCATTGTTGACATCGTCCAAGCCTCTGGACCATATAGAAATTATCTACGACTTCAAAGTTATGACTGTCAACAGTGACGTGAGTGCCAAGTCGCGAGTGCGACGACTGTTTGTTTGATGACAGGAGACATTTCGTCTTGCCCTCGTTCACTGCCAGACCCATTTGTGTTGCTTCCTCGTCCAGTCTGGCGAAAGCAGAACTAACAGTGCGGGTTTGAGGCCGATGTTATCAATATCATCGGCATACGCCAGCA